CCCTTCAACAACAACAACAACAACAACAACAACAGTTAAATCTTCTCTCTACTGAAGTCATGGATTTAGTTCCACTTCGGGAATACTAAAAGTCCATATTCCCCTAACAGAACCCCACCCCCTACCAATCCCTGTACAATATTCAGAGTATTTTCTACTCATTCATCTGTTTTCTATAAATCTGATCTTCCTACATTGTGCTCTAAGTGTTCTTGAAGCAACCTTTAATTTAAGCTTTAGGGACAGTAATGTTGGTGAGTCTGAAATATCTCGATAGATTGTGATGAAATGTGGTTCAGACATTTATTTACTTTTCTGCACCTACATATGTTATGTGCTAGGCTAATCTATGCTGAAAAGTCAACCACATTTTGAAGTGTTTTGATACAGGGCAAAGCTAACTAGCTATTCAATCAATTGTTAGCTAGCTCATGATTAATGTAGATTAGCTAGCCATCAAACGGACAGTTGATGTAGGTAGCTAGCTAGATAAATATGGTTGTCTCTTTAACATAGATTAGCCTAGCACATAGCATAAATAAGAACAGGAAAGAAACATCAGATCAACATTTTAATGTGTCCAATACTTTGTTTTTTTAGACCAATTAAAGCAAAAGTTAACATGCTAGGGAATTATGTCACACACCTTCTGCCCGTTAGCGCCACGGCGTCCGAGTAGTCCTGGGTCTCCTGCTGGTCCTGGTTCACCCTGCAGGAACACCAACAGTCAGAGCAGGAAGAAACTACCAAACAGTTCCTGTAGCGGGCTCCGCCTTAAAGCTAGAGTGAATATACTGGTATCATATGAAACTAAAAGACATAACGCATCTGTTGCAGGAGAGGACTGTATCTGCACACAGGGTATTTTATTTAGAAAATTGACCAGCTTCATTATGCCGGTTCTGTGTCTGACTTTACACAACTTTATTATCGCTCGAACAAAATTTTTAATTTAAATTTTATCGCTTGACCTCAAGATATCTGAGTAAAAATGGGCTCTATGGGAACCCACGAGTCTCCTCTTTACGGACACTTATGAGCTATGAGGTTTTTTGGATGTGGTATGAATCTGATATTTTAGTGTATTTAAATATGTATTGAATATATATTGGTCCATATTTAATGCCACCTTTGCATAAGTTCCCCCACCCGAATCAAAAAAGTCACAACACATATGTATATAAACACCATATACAAACTGTTTGTGAGGCCTTTAAACTGACTACAAACGCATTCTAAATCATGTAAATCATTTATGTGCATTTGCATTAGTCTGCATTGTAAGTGAGCAGTAAGTCATGTTAACAATGAATCGTTAAAAAATATTTCAGTTAGTGTTATTATTATTATCATAAGCATTATTATTGTTCATCATCATCAGTCACTACTATTAGTGTAGTTGTTGCTATTGTTGTTGCTCTGCGTCTGTTTGTCTATCTGTCTGTCTTTCTCTCTCTCTCTCTCTCTCTCACCCAACTTGGTCGGAGCAGACGGACCTCCCCACCTTAGCAGCCAAAGGGGCTCTGTCCTTAGGTTTCTGCCTTTTAACAGGCAGTTTTTCCTTGCCTCGTCGCCAAGTTTGCTTGCCTCATTGGTGGTACTGTTGCGGCTCAAGCCATAGAGAAAGAAAGATCCAGAGCCTCAGGGGAGAGCTCAAGCTGCTAAAAAGGCAGTACAAGACAGCAGGGGAAATTGAGAGACTTGGCCTAGCGGACCTGAGAGCAATCCTAAGGAAACAACTCCGGACCCTGCGGAGGGCAGAGTTCCACAGGAGGAGGCGGAAACGAGGGAGAGGCCAGGGAAGAGAGGCAAGCTTTTCCTGGCCAATCCCTTCAAAATGTTGACCAAAGCAGCTCCTTGGTCAAAAGAGGACTGGCCGCCTTTCCTGCTCCAAGGATGTTATTAACAACCACCTCAAGGCCACGTACAGTGACCCTACCAGAGAACAGCCACTTGGCCCATGCGATGCACTGATAATACCACCAGAGCCTATAGCGGACTTCAACCTGAAGGAGCCCGGCCTTAGTGAAGTGGAGGAAGTGGTGCGGAGAGCAAGATCAAGTTCGGCACCGGGCCCAAGTGGAGTGCCTTATAAGGTGTATAAAAACTGCCCAAAGCTATTACACC